GGGGGGTGGCCGTGGACCAGCACCTCTTGGTCCCCCCCGGGATCAGGGGTCTGCAGGGGCACGGTGGGGGCTGGCGTCCCCCGGGAAGGGGTGGGGGGACACAGGATTCCTTACCTGGGGGTCTCAGCCTCGGAGCCGCGGAGCAGCGCGCTCTGCACCAGCCCCGTCAGGCTGGCGATCTGCTTCTCCATCGCCTCCATCCGCTCCCTGCCCGGGGGGAGGGAGAGGAGAGGGGTGAGGAACCAGCTCAGGTTTATCCCATCCCCCCCCCCAAAACCCTGGCACCCACCCCCCAGCTCCCTGCAAGCCCCAGGATGGATGTCGGGGAGGCAGAACCACTGCTGTCCCCAGCTACATCCTCCCCCCCATCATTCCAGAAAGCCAATGGCATCCTGGCTTGTATCAAAAATAGTGTGACCAGCAGAAGTAGGGAGGTGATTGTGCCCCTGTGCTCAGCACTGGTGAGGCCACATCTCGAGTGTTGTGTCCAGTTTTGGGCACCTCAATCCAAGAGAGATCTGGAGGTGCTGGAGCGAGTGCAGAGGAGGGCAATGAAGCTGGTGAGGGGGCTGGAAAACAAATCGTCTGAGGAGCGGCTGAAGGAGCTGGGGCTGTTTAGTGTGAGGAAGAGGAGGCTGAGGGGAGACCTCATCACTCTCTACAACTACTTGAAAGGACACTGTAGAGAGGTTGGTGCTGGTCTCTTCTCACAGGTAATTAGTGACAGAACGAGAGGGAACGGCTTCAAGCTCCAACAGGGGAGGTTTAGATTGAACATTAGGAAGGAATTTTTCACCCAAAGAGTGGTCGGGCATTGGAACAGGCTGCCCAGGGAGGGGGTGGAGTCCCCATCCCTGGCTGTGTTTAAGGGCCGTTTAGATGCAGTGCTGAGGGACATGGGGTAGGGGAGGACTTTGTAGAGTAGGGGAGATGGTTGGACTCCATGATCCCAAGGGTCTCTTCCAACCTCAATGATTCTATGATTCTATGATTCCTTCTCTCTTCTTGCCTCCAATTGCCCCTCAGCCCTGGTCCTTCATCCCGACACCGCTGCCACGGTGATGATGCAAAGCCTTCCTCCGCTCTTCCTCTACCTCCACAGCTGCACCGAGCACAAAAACTCCTATTTTGAAGGGTGGGGGGAGAGCCTTCTCACCTTGTTTCTGTGTCCTTGGCTGGTCCAGGGGAGCCGAACCCCGAAAGTGGGCGATCTCCGGGGCCGGGGAAGAGCTCGGGAGGCCCCGAGGAGCTGGGGTTACGTGGTTTGTTGACGGGGCTCTCCATGAAGACGGAGGAGCAGGAATCCTTGCGGAAGGACTGACGGACGGGCGAGGAGCGGCTGGGGGGGCCCGAGTAAGGGCTGTGGGGGCTCTGCCCGGGCTGCACGTCCACCAGCCGGCCGTCAGCCATCTTCTGTGGGGAGGAGGGGGGCATGCGGAACCCCAGGCCGGGTCCGTACGTGTCGCTGTAGATGGGGGCGTTGGGTTTGTAGAGACTGTCCTCCAGCTCCGTCTGCAGGGCGGCCGCCGAGTAGGTGCTGAGGGAGCGGACGGACCCCCGCTTGTAGAGCCCCCCCGAGTAGCCAAAAGGGTCCCCCATGCCAGCCAGGGACTGGGTGGAGGTGATGCTGAGCCGGCCCTCGTGCACCATGCCGTAGGGATCGGCGTACAACCCCTCGTTCTTCACCAGCACCACGTTCTTCCCGGCCAGGTCTTCGTCCGGCTTCACGTCCCGCCGTTCCAGGATGGCGCTGGGGCTGGGGGAGACCCCCTGGGCTGGAGGGAGGCTGGAGAGACGCTCCCCGTGATGGACGGGGCTACCGGCGTAGGAGGGGGGGCGGCCCCCGCTGTAGGACATGCGGGAACGGGACGGGGAGGAGGACTGGAGCACCGGGGGCGGGGAGCCCGAGGCCAGGTGGGAGGCCGGGGACATGTTGTTCAGCCGGCGGGTGGGAGATGACTCCCTGGAGGTGTAAACCATCTCCCTCTGCGGAAAGAGGCAAGGCAAGGGGGGGGTCAGCACGGCGTCCCTGGGGGCTGTCCCCCTGCCCTTGCTCTGCCTGGATGGGACCCCACCTCGCTGACCCTTCCGAGGACCAAGATCTGCAAACTCCTGCATCTTCCCCCGGCCTTGGCAACTGGCAGCTCCCGCATCCCCACCCGGGAGAGGGATGATTTATTCTGATGAATCTCCTAATTATCATGTTTATTACCCTGCTGTCAGGCTCCAAACATCCATTCTCTTAAAGTAACGCTTAACGACGCTGGAACTGGGCAAGACGAATCGCGGTCGTTACTCCCTTCCACAAACACACGCAATTACCAGTCCCCATCTCCATCCCATTCTTCCTTTACTGGTCCCAGCCCCCGCCCCGGGGTGCACCCACACCACAAGCCCTCCCCGTGACATCCCCCTCCTTACCCTCAGGTCACCGTTGGTGATGTGCGAGGCTGGGAACGAGGCATAAAGCGGCTCTTTCCGGTAGATTTTAATGATGCTTCTGTCCTGGATGTCGCTGGAAGGGGAGGAAGAGCCATGAACATCCCAGACAAGAAGCCGCCGAGACCCAGCCACGGGACTGCCCCCACTCAACCCCCCCTTCTGCTTTCATCCCGCTCATTTCCTTGCTCGTGATGCTCTTAAAGAAAGGGGGTTAAAAAAAAACAACCCCCAAAATCGGCACTGGTGAGGCCTCACCTTGAGTACTGTGTCCAGTTTTGGGCCCCCTACCATAAAAAAAGACATTGAGGTGCTGGAGCGGGTCCAGAGAAGGGCGACAAAGATGGTGAGGGGTCTGGAGAATAAGTCTTATGAGGAGAGGCTGAGGGAGCTGGGGTTATTCAGCCTGGAGAAGAGGAGGCTGAGGGGAGACCTTATTGCTCTCTCCAACTCCCTGAAAGGAGGGGGTAGAGAGATGGGGCTCGGTCACTTTTCTCAAGTCACAGGCGACAGGACGAGAGGAAATGGCCTCAAGTTACACCAGGGGAGGTTCAGGCTGGATATTAGGGAAAATTTTTTCACTGAAAGGGTTCTCAGCCCTTGGAATGGGCTGCCCAGGGAGGTGGTGGAGGCACCATCCCTGGAGGTGTTCAAAAGAGGGGTTGATGTAGTGCTGGGAGGTCTGGTTTAGTGATGATGCTCCTTGTTTGTTGTGTGGGTGTCTATTTTTGTCAGTGAGGTTGACGGTTGGACAAGATGATCTTTAAGGTCCCTTCCAACCTAGAAGATTCTGTGATTCTGTGATTGATCTGTGGTGAGTTTCTGAGCCCCCCAGCCTCACCGGACATCCTCCAGCTCGTAGAAGACGTTGCGCGACTCGTCCTTGATGAGGATGGCGGTGTTGGGAGACTTCAGCATCCCCATGGTGAGCTTCTGGGGGAACATGTGGACGATGAGGGCGTGCAGGGTGTCCATGCTGCTGATCTCGTGGGTGATGTGGACCCGCCTGGTCTCATCCCCGAACTGCAGGAAAAGGACCCCTGGAAGCAGAGGGAGGAGGAAGAGGTGAGGGGATGCCCATGCTGCTTCTCCACCCAACGCCAAAAACACACCGAGGGGGTCTCTGTGGGCTCAGGGACCTCTGGCCACCCAACCAATGGCTTCAAGCTGGAGGGGAACAGATTTAGACTGGAGATGAGGAGAGGGTTCTTCACTGGGAGGGTGGTGGAGCACTGGGACAGGTTGCCCAGGGAGGTGGTTGAGGCCCCATCCCTGGAGATATTCAAGGAGAGGCTCGATGAGGCCCAGGGCCTAGTTGAGGGTGTCCCTGCTGACTGCGGGGGGGTCGGACTAGATGGCCTTTGGGGGTCCCTTCCGGCCTGGGCAATTCTATAATTCTATGATTCTATAACCTCACCCTGGAGCAGTGAGGCTGAAGGCAGCTCATCCCCCTCAGCACCCCACACAGCTCCCCCGCTCCTCCTGGGGTATTTGGGGCAGATAAAAACCATTCCCACACCCGGGATCTGCCCTCCGAGGGGGGTAGAGGTGTGTGTTGGTGGCCGGGCAGGTACTTGGTGCCCATCCCGGGGAGATGCCAAGCCTGGGGGTACCTGGCGATCGCAGCTTCGTCTGGCTGGTGGAGCGGGACAAGGGCAAGCTCTGCCGGAACCGATTCATCCTGTTGAAGCCCAAGGGCAGCTCCGCTTCCGACATGGTTTCCAGGGATTCGGCCGAGGCAAAGGAGAGTTTGGCTTGATCGGCCAGGCCGGGCTGGGAGCCCTGGGAGTGCCGGGAGCTCCTCGTCTGGAAGGGGAGAGGGGAGAGGTGAGAGGAGAGAGGAGAGAGGCTGCCCCGGGTACCCCAACCCCATCTGCTCCCTGGGACACTGGTTTGCTGCTCCCCCCTTCCCTCCGGAGCACGGGATGGAGCGTTTTGGGTGATGCTGCACCGCACCCAGGGATGCTCCATCCTGGATCCCTGGCTGAGTCAGCACATCGACGTGGTCTAGATGCAGTACCACCTCCAGCCCTCCTCCTTCTCCATCTCTACAACCATTTTCAGCCCCTTACCTTTGCCTCCTGCAATCACCCCCTCACGTTTTCCTCTCCGGGCTCGCAGCTCTCTGCATTTTAAAGCCCCCCAGTACAGTTCCAGGAGCCTTCCAGTTCCACACACACACCCCCCCCCAACCAGCAGCCCACTCAAAACCAAGCCAGCAGGAGCTCGCTGGTGGCAGAGCCAGGGCTCGCAGGCAAGCACTGGAATAACCTTAGCAATTACAGGAGGTTACACATCCATTACGGCAATGAACCAGCTCCCGGGAAACATAAATGTCCCCGGCTTATTCTGGAAGCAAAGCAGCAGCGAGGTTTATGGCCGCCTGAGCCGGGGGAAAAGTAATGGCTTTGGGTTTAGAGCAGTAAAAATTTAATATGCCAGGAGTCCAACCTCACGTGGCCGCGCGTATAATGCACCGCAGAAAAGTTCAAGCTACGGACAACGGGTTTTCTGCACAAACATCTCCTGAACACATAGCGGGGGCCCCCTTGCCACAGGTACCCCCCCCCGCGCTGCCTGTTGATACCCCCAAATCAGAAAAGTTCAAGCTACGGACAACGGGTTTTCTGCACAAACATCTCCTGAACACACAGCAGGGGCCACCTTGCCACAGGTACCCCCCCCCAGCGCTGCCTGTTGATACCCCCAAATACAAGGCTTGATTTTCCAGCCCCACGTTTGACGTCGGGGAATTAAAACCGGGAGAACAAACAGCTCCTGGGGTGTGGAGAAGGCAGCATGGAATAGGACAACAGCTCTATTTTAACACCAAAAAAAAAAAAAAAAGGACAAATCAATATGAAATGATAACAGCCATCATCATCATTTAAATTAGATATTAATTGGAAGATTTAATTAATCCTGCGGGGCGGGGTTTTCTAGGACTTGAAACGTTCTGGCTGTAGCTAATTGCTGGAAAATTGACTGCCTGGTTGTGGTGTTGTTGTTTCAGCACAAAGCGCCCTGGCAGATGCTGTGAGTCTTACATCAAGAGAGGGATGCGGGGCTGGAGCCAACCTGGTACCCAGTGCACCCACAAGCCCCATCCACGGGGGGCCAAGGGGGGCCACGGGGGGCTCTGCAGAGGGTAAGGAAGCTGCGGTGAGTGGGAGGTGGTGGGGAGACCTGGTCTCCTCTCCTCCATGTTCATGGTGTGCAGGTCTTTGGGGGGTAGAAGGAGGTTTTGGGGGGTAGAAGGGGGTTTTGGGGGCTCTCTGCCCTTGTCCAGCCCCAGGAAACCTGGGGGGGTTGTGGTTCCTCCCCCCAGCTGCCAACCCAGGAGGGATCCTTGGCCACGGGGAGCCGATAACAGCCATCATCATCATTTAAATTAGATATTAATTGGAAGATTTAATTAATCCTGCGGGGCGGGGTTTTCTAGGACTTGAAACGTTCTGGCTGTAGCTAATTGCTGGAAAATTGACTGCCTGGTTGTGGTGTTGTTGTTTCAGCACAAAGCGCCCTGGCAGATGCTGTGAGTCTTACATCAAGAGAGGGATGCGGGGCTGGAGCCAACCTGGTACCCAGCACATCCACCAGCCCCATCCACGGGGGGCCAAGGGGGGGCCATGGGGGGCTCTGGAAAGGGTAAGGAAGCTGTGGTGAGTGGGAGGTGATGGGGAGACCTGGTCTCCTCTCCTCCATGTTCATGGTGTGCAGGTCTTTGGGGGGTAGAAGGAGGTTTTGGGGGGTAGAAGGGGGTTTTGGGGGCTCTCTGCCCTTGTCCAGCCCCAGGAAACCTGGGGGGGTTGTGGTTCCTCCCCCCAGCTGCCAACCCAGGAGGGATCCTTGGCCACGGGGAGCCCTTGGCCAGGAGGTCACCCAGGGCTGCCCTTGAGCTGGTCCCCCCGGGCAGCCCCTTCCCCTCTGCTCCTTCCCCTGCCCCATCTCCATCCATCCATCCATCCATCCATCCATCCATCCATCCATCCCTCCATCATCCATCTGTCCATCCATCCCTCCATCCCTCCATCTGTCCATCCATCCCTCCATCCATCCCTCCATCCATCCATCATCCATCCCTCCATCCATCCATCCCTCCATCCATCCATCCATCCATCCATCCATCCCTCCCCCCCCCCACGATGCACATCTGGGCTGGACCTGAGAAGCTGTTGAGCTTTCACATGATGTGACGAAAGGCCAATGGGTCACACACACACACACCCACCCTCCCCAGGACATGTTTTGTCTGGAGAAAATAATCAGAAGAACAAATTGATTTAGCCGAGGCGGGGGGGGGAGGGAAATTGCTGCCTCCCCCTCCCCGTGTCACGGCAGAGCCCGCGTTGCCATGTAGCATCCTTGTTGCTAAGGGCTGGTGTATGGTGTGCGTGCCTCGGCACAACACCCCACCACCGCGGTCCCTACAGCCCCTGGAGCACACACCCTGACACACCATGGTCCCTACAGCCCCTGGAGAACAACACCCTGACACACCATGGTCCCTACACCCCCTTATAGGCGGTCCCTACAGCCCCTAGAGCACACACCCTGACACACCATGGTTCCTACAGCCCCTGGAGCACAACACCCCAACACACTGTGGTCCCTACAGCCCATAGAGTACAACACCCCGACACACTACAGTCCCTACACCCCCTTATAACATGACACCCCACCACACTGTGGTCCCTACAGCCGCTAAAGCACAACACCCCGACACACCATGGTCCCTACACCCCCTTATAGCATGACACCCCACCACACTGTGGTCCCTACAGCCCCTAGAGTACAACACCCCGACACACTACAGTCCCTACAGCCCCTATGGCACAACACCCCGAAACACCACAGTCCCTACAGCCCCTAGAGCACAACACCCTGACACACTACAGTCCCTACAGCCTCTATAGCACAACACCCCAACATACCATGGTCCCTACACCCCCTTATAGCATGACACCCCACCACACTGTGGTCCCTACAGCCCCTAGAGCACAACACCCCAAGGCACTGTGGTTCCCTACAGCCCCTAAGGCACAACACCCCAACACACTGTGGTCCCTACAGCATCTATGGCACAACACCCCAACGCAACACAGTCCCTACAACCTGTAGGATGGCTGTGGGAGCCAGGGGAGCTGCCCTTCTCCAGGTGAGCCCAGACCCCTCCTGCCTCTGCCCCCGGGGTTGCAGGTGACCTCAAGTAATTAAGCTCATCTGCTGGAGCTAATTATGGCATCAGTCAAAAAAAAAAAAAAAAAAAAAAAAAAAAAAAGAGATGGAAATTAATGGCTTTTTAGCCCGGAAGGGACCGTTCTGGCCTGATGCTCAGTGAGATGAGCAGGGACCAGTGGCCCCACAAAGCCCTCAATGGCACCGTGGCACGAGCCACACGTTGTCCCCCCCCCAGTACCCCTCCCTGCAAGGTCCCTCTGGGGGTGTGGGACCCCCAGGTGCTGGGCACGGGGCAACCACTGGCCTCGGGCCACCGTGGGATGCTGGTGAGCTGGAATGGACCCCCAGACCCTGGGGTGGGGGGTTTCCAAGGGCTATGGGGGGGGGGTCTTTGCCATGGGTCTTTGGCATTTTGGCCACAGTGGCTCTGTCGGGGGGTGCAGCTGCAGGATCTGGGTGCCCACGGAGCCGGGTACCCACAGATCCAGGTGCCCATGGATCTGGGTGCCCATGGAGCCCTGTGTCGGGGGGGTCCCGAAATGCCCAGGGACAAGGGGGGGAGGGAGCACAGTGGCTGCTCCGTCCTTGGCCTCCAGCAGCCCCATTAATGAGCCTGCTCAGAGGGAACTGGTTTTTATTGCTCTGCCTCGCTAACGACTTCTCCTGCCGTACGATAATTCGTTAACTGACAACTCAGCCCCCACACATCCTGCCGCCCGCCCCTGCCACCGGCTGCTGCCGGCAG